TATATATATATATACACGTACACCGAAAAAATTGTATTCTTGTTTTGAGGATATCCCACTCACTTTAAGTATATTTTATACTAAAATAGGCGCCAAGAAGAGTTTTTTATTTTAAGAGGAAAATTTTTTAAATAATATAATATTGATAAGAATATATACTGATTAGAATATAAAAAGCCTCTATAGAAAAACATATATATCTCACTATCGAAAAAGACTATATTCTTAAATAAAGAATTATATTCTTAATTTCAGAAGAATATCATCTAAAATCTTGAAGAAGATTTTTTAAGTATAAAATCTACTTACGAGAATATAATTTTTTCGGTGTGCTATTGTTGAAGTCAATTATTTTATATTGATTACACACCCCGTACAGGAAGCGTATCGAGAAGTAATAGTTTTTAAAATAAATATTTGCACTTCACGTTTTTTCACCTTCGAGCTACAAATATCTCGACAGAACGAAATGATTTCAATGAATCAAGATCACCCGCCACAGAGACGATAACGTCTATTAAATTGTCTACTGAACGTTCGCAACGTTCCTGTGACGTCTAACGAACATTTGACGAAGGTTTGTATAGCACGTTCTTTTGTTCCGTTACGTGAAGATAATTTTGAAATTATTACGGGGTATTGCATTGAATTTATTTAAATTTTTTCACAGTTAAATCTTATTTAGTAGATTTTAATCTAACAAAATTTGGATGCAAAAAAATCCAAGTATTACACTGATACTTTTTTATGTAAAAAATTCTTGATATTCCTCAGCTTTTCTCGCCGATTGCCATTTGACACAAAGACTGTATTTGATACAACTTACCGACCTTGCGGTTTAATAAACAAATGCGGTATTTAGAAACAGCGGCTGAGTCTGAGGGTCGGTCAGAATGAGAGGAAGTCGAGAATATCAGTTCTCGGGAAATATCAGTTTGATAATCGCGTCTTTTATTTTGCTTGTTGGAACGCTGAACATGCGCAACGTGGTTGAAGAGCGCGCGCGAGCGGAATGCAAAACGCGCGACGGCAAAATAACGCCGGCAGCTAAACGTTCGCTCTGCGATTGCCGTGATCTGAGAAAATCAACTAGGGATAAGTAATATAGTATTACACACAACTCCAACACACTGTCAGAAATATGGTGAGAGAGACAGGAGAGAGAAAGAAAATTACATTTACATCTTTAAGCTGAAAAATTTATATACATCAAAAAAGATACGAGCGATATTTTATTTTAAAAATATCTGACATTATTTTGAAAATTGTTTGAATAGCGTTTCTCTAAACACGTACCCGGTAAAACATTTTTCATATATACTTATACACAAATTAGAATTATTATATCTAATTATCCAAATTTATATATATGTGTGTGTGTGTGTGTGTGTGTGTGTGTGCTGAATATGTCCATACAATTGTATCCATGGAAAATTTTTTACCGGATAGAAAAATAATTCAATCAACTTTAAACTCGAGATGAGATTTTACGCTTTTGAATAGAAAAATTCGAACAAAAAGTTCACGTTCGATTGTTCTCTTGATGATGAAAAAAAATCGCGAGAGAAAGGTGGAAGACAAGAAGCGCGCGCGAAACCTTTCGCGTGACAATAAAATAATATGCATTGCATTATTGTCGCGAGATTATAACGGAGAGAAAATTACCAATTCGCACGCAAGACAAATACAATCGCAGTTTTTTTTTTTTTTTTTTATTTGCTGTTGCGTGCTGCCGATCGTCGTTCTCCGCGCTTGCACGTTAGCGCATTCATCGATTACCACAACGTCAAGCGTTGACATCTAATGGCATACAATTATATCACGGAAAATCTTGCCTCTCCACGCAGCGTGAACTTTCTCACACCGAAAAAATTGTATTCTTGTTTTGAGGATATCCCACTTACTTTAAATATATTTTATACTAAAATAGGCGCCAAGAAGAGTTTCTTATTT